CCCTTCCCCTATGATCCTATTTTGTTTCTTAAATTCCACATATGAGTGAGATCATATACTTGTCTTTCTCTGATTGACTTATTCCACTTAGCATTGTATTCTCTAGTTCCATTCACATCATTGCAAATGTTTTCAACATCTTAAAATGCTGTATCTCTCTCTCTCTCATCTCTAAATTTGGCACCTGTTCTTACTATACCTGGAATGCATGTTGTTTAATTAATTCCAAACTCACCCTCCAACTCCCGACCTTAATGTTACTGCCTCTAGGGGGCCTTTTCTGATCCCATAAATGAGATTCAATTCTCTTCTTGTCTCTTGACCCACCACTCCATACTTACCTCCAGTAGTTACCCCCATCATAATTTCCAATAATCACTTGTTTTGTTTGATTTTCCTACTAGATCAAAACCTGAAGAAAAGAACAGTTGTTTGTTTTGTTCACCCCTGTATCTTCAAGGCCTACCATTGTACCTGGAAAACAGGTAGACATTAAATAGATATTGAAGAAATCAGTTCACCTAGCAAATTTGTAATATTAGCAAAAATAAGAAAATGTAGTAACCGAGCTCCCAGGGCCACATTATGACTTTCATGGGCCCTATCCTGCATAAATATAGACATTTATAAATATAAGCACTGTGTCCACTGTGCATAATAAGTAAGTCAGCCCACAAGCATCAGCAACAGAAGAGTTAAAAGCAACAGACAAAGTCAGAAGGGAGTAGAGGGAGGGCCAGAATCGGAAATTAGCTTGACTTCTGAGATGCAGTAGACAATGTAACTGTGATTCAGCTATAAGGCTTTTATCTACAAGTAATGGATTCCTGAGTCCAATTCCGTAAACCATAAACAGGAAAGCACAGAGATATGGCAAGGGCTGGGCTTAGTTGATTCAATAACTCAACAGTGTCTGCAAAATTTCAGGTTCTTTCTAATTCTCTATTCTTTTTTTTTTTAAGATTTTATTTATTTATTCATGAGAGACACAGAGAGAAAGAGGCAGAGACACAGGTAGAGTGAGAAGCAGGGTCCATGCAGGGAGCCGGACGTGGGACTCAATCCTGGGTCCCCAGGATCACGCCCTGGGCTGAAGGTGGCGCTAAACCGCTGAGCCACCCAGGCTGCCCTAATTCTCTATTCTTCTGTCCACAGCATCAGATTCATCCCAAATCCAGTTCCCCTTCCTGTCATCAGATGACTGTCAGCAGAAATGGAGGCAACATCCCTCTTTGATTACATCCAGTGAGACAACCAGAAAATTTCAGTCCTGCACGGTAGTCTGAGTAAACCGGCATTAGTCATGCATCCAATCTGGATCAATAACAATCTCCTGGGGAATACCTCACACTGGCTATTCTAACAAGTCAGGATCCTTTCCTAGAGTGAGGGATGCGGCATACACCAGAACAAAATCAGGAAATAGGAAGAACCCCTGCAAGAATTCAAGAGATGTGGAATGGGTTATCAGACATTGAGTACATAAATGGTATTTACATTAGACATATAATGTGTTTACAACAAGTAGTAAAAATTATCTGCATCAAGTAAATTAAAAGGTCAAGAGACCATTTAATCCAAAGGAATATCTTAAGGGAAAAGATTTATAGAGGGTGCTTTAGGAGAAAGCTGTGTTGTGAGCTGCCTCCCCAAACCCCTCCCCTTAAAGGGTAAAATGGAGCTGCTAAGGACTTGCCCTCCTACTTCAAACCTTAGTGAGGAGGGATTCCACAGGGCTACTCAAGGTGCTTAATATATCACCTCTACATTTGGGTGGCCCACAAAACTTGGAAGCTTACAAAATGTAGAAGTCTCTTTATTGGTAACATCAAATCATAAATGACCTCTGCTCATCAAACATCAATACTCAATCTTGGGATCCCTGGGTGGCGCAGCGGTTTAGCGCCTGCCTTTAGCCCAGGGTGCGATCCTGGAGACCCAGGATTGAATCCCACATCGGGCTCCCGGTGCATGGGGCCTGCTTCTCCCTCTGCCTATGCCTCTGTCTCTCTCTCTCTCTCTCTCTGTGTGTGTGTGTGTGTGTGTGTGTGTGACTATCATAAATAAATAAAAATTTTTAAAAAAATACTCAATCTTCACCTTACTTAGCATATCAGCGGTTGAAACAGTTTCTTCACCTGCCTTCTCATAGACCAACATTCCAGGTTTTCCCCCAACCCTCATAATCACTCCTCTATTCCTGGCTCCTCCTGACCCACCAGCCCCTTGATGACAGAGTACTCCAGGGCTCTGAAACCTCCAGTATTCCTTGAACCTCTTTTTTTTTTTTTTACCTACACTTATCTTCTCTATATGTTAACAGCTTCCAAATGTTCACCTCCAGCCCAGAACTCTCTTCAGACTAATATATCCACTACCTTTTCAAAGCCTCCACTTAGATATCTAATAGATATCTCAACATGTACAAATACAAGTTCCTGATTTTTCCATATAAACCTGTTCCTCCTTGACTGTCTCATCTCAAGTAATGGCAACTCCATCCTTCCATCTGCTCAAGCAGTTGGAATCATCATCTCCTTTCTCTATCTCATATTCTACTTGCAACCCATCAGCAAAGGTACTTTTGCCATTGTCTCTGCTTTCAAAATATATTCAGCATAGATCACTTCTCATCATCTCCATAATCTTTTACCTGATTACTTTAAATGCCTCCCAACTTTCTCCTTCCTTTTCTACCTAGATTATCACAAGAAGTTCCCTGGTTTTTTTCCATGCATGACCAGTTGGCTACCAGAATAATCCTTTTTTAAATATGAGCTGGTGTCATTCTCCTACATAGAACGCTCCATCCCATTCAGAGCAAAAGCCAAAGTCCTAATAATGGCCTATCATATTCATCAACACACACCTACCTAACCCCCAATGCACACACATACTTAACCCCCCCCCAATGCATATACATACCTCCCTGACCATATCTCCCCTCACTTACTTCATTTGAACAGCTCCCTGTTCTTCCTTAAACACACCAGACACAATCTGACCCCAGGGCCTTGAGACGAGCTATTCCTTCAACCTCTAATGCCTTTATTCCCAACAAGCTGCATGGCTTGCTCCCTCAATTCTTTCAAATATCATCTTCTCAGTGAAGCTATTCCTGACCACCCCATTTGTTTATTCATGAGAGACACACAGAGAGAGGCAGAGACGTAGGCAGAGGGAGAAGCAGGCTCCATACAGGGAACCCGAAGTGGGACTTGATTCCAGAACCCCAGGATCATGCCCTGAGCCAAAAGCAGACACCCAACCACTGAGCCACCCAGGTGTCCCCTGACCACCCCATTTAAAACAGCAACTCTCACCGCTTTCAGCAGGCCCTGCCCCCCTTCCCTGTTTTATTGTTCTTCATAGCACACACATGGCATGTTTGTTTCTATAGTAGCCTATCATTTACTTATTTGCCAGTTTCATCCCACAAAAATACAAGCTCCATGAGGGCAAGGATTTTTTTTTTTTTTTGGTCTGGGTTAAATGCTATATCCCCAGCATCTAGAACAGAGCCTGATGTATGACAGGTACTCAATAAATATCAGCCAAATGATTGTGTTAGTATTTGCTTTCTATAGTTATGCATTGTTTGAATGTTTTACAAGAATAACATGTTCACTTATTCATTCAACAAATATAGATTCAGAAAAAACCCAAGCCCAGGCACTATGCTAGATGCTGGGTCAAGAGTAATGAGCATACCTAGGCTGACTACACTACCTGGGCTCATGGAGGTTAATCTAGTGATAGATTTTTGAAATAATAACAAATGAGTGTTAAGTACTGGAAAGAAGGGCCACAAGTCTACAAAAGCATATCAGGAAGAAAGTTAGCCCTGTCTAGACCTGATAAAAGTGAGTGGAGCGAAAGGAACTGGGGGGAGAGAGAAAACCACAGGAGACTGGTAGCTAGGCTCTCTGTTACATGATTTCTCTGTGATTTCGCTCAGGAGTGCCTCTGTTTAGCATCAAAAGTGCAAGAGTTGCACTCCATACTACTCATTGATGATTCCCTGAGGAAGTAGCACCTGAGCCAAGAAAGAGCCACACCCGTTACAGAGGTGAAGGGGTAAGGACAGGGCAGAGTGGAGGAGTAGTGTAGAGGCAGAGAAAACTATGGCTAAAGATGCTAGAGGGGAAGGACTATGGCACATTCTGGAACACAAAAAGCAAAGGGGGGGTGCAGGGAGAAGGGCCTGGAAGGGGAAAGAGTGGCCAAGGTCTGGCAGGTTCTCAAAAAGACTCCAACTTTATCCTAAAAGAAATCAAAAGAGACAGGACCTTGTTTGGCTTCACTTCATTTTGTTTCATTTGCATTGTGGTGACATTACTGGACCTGTATTTTGAAAGTATTTTTGAAACTGCCTTTGTGGAGAATACTTTACCAGAGGCACCTGACCAGGTGCAGAAAGATGAGACAGGAGGCAGGGGAGTAGTCCAGGAGATTTTAGTATATGTGCTGCCGAAGCAAGCACTGTCCAGGAGAGCAATGCTGGTAACTTGCCCCAGGGTAGAGAGGCAGGAAATGGGGAGGAGTCAACCAGTTCAAAGAGATTTCATTACCTGTGTGTTATGGGTTGAAATTTGCTCCTCCAGAATTCATATACTTAAACCCTAACCCCCAGCGCCTCAGAATGTAACTGGATTTGTAGTTAGTGCCTTTAAAAAGATAGTTAAGGTAAAATGACGTCATTAGAGTGGTTCCCTAAACCAATGTGATGGTATCCTTATAAGAAGAGACTAGGACACACACATAGAGGGAAGACCATGTGAAGACACATCCATCTACAAGGCAGCCATCTACAAGCTGAAGGGAGTCACAAGGAACCAAACCCACCCACACTTCTATCTCTGATTTTTAGCCTCCAAAACTGTGAGAAAACAAATTTCTAATTGTTCAGGCCACCCAGTCTGTGCTATTTGTTACGGCAGCCCTAGCACACTAATACACTCTGAAAAAAAAATTAAGTTAACAATAAAAGCTCTGAAAAATAAAAATATACTCTATTTATTCTAATTGAAATCAGGGTGGTGTATGACGGTAAAATTCAAACAAAAGAGCATTTCTTCAGTATCTCCAGAGATGGCTTCTGCAACACATTTGTATCGTCCCTAAATGAGAAATAAGAAATAGAAGTAAATAAAATGTTAGATGCTTCTATTTTGTAAGACTTTTTTGAAAAAGGTTTTATTTATTTATTTATTTACTTACTTATTTGAGAGAGAGAGAGCGGGCACACATGTGAGCGGGAGGGAGGGACAGAGGTAGAGGGAGAAGCAGACTGCCTTCTGGGAGTTGGAATCTCTCAAATCTCAGGGCTCAATCCCAGAATTCTGAGATCATGATCTGAGCGGAAGGCAGACCCTTAAGGCTTAGCTAACCGAGTCACTCAGGTGCCCCCATTTTGTAAGACTTTTATAAGAATTTTGTCTTAGTAGGAAGAAGCTCTTTAAATTAAATTGGTTATCATTATCTCGGTAATCTAATAGGATGAAATTTTGAATGCCTTTGAATTCAGTAAGCATAAACCTATTTATTTCCCAATTATAAGAGGATGTTTTTTGCAATTAGCCTGTGAGATTTTCAAATAATCAATATCCTTTAGAACAAAATAGGTAAGGAATATGCATTGTTGAAGTTTATTTTAAAATAGTCATCCAGGGGGATCCCTGAGTGGCTCAGTGGTTTAGCGCCTGCCTTCAGCCCAGGGCGTGATCCTGGAGACCTGGGATCCAGTCCCACATTGGGCTCCCTTCATGGAGCCTGCTTCTCCCTCTGCCTGTGTCTCTGCCCCTCTCTCTCTCTCTCTCTCTCTCTGTCTGTCTCTCATGAATGAATAAATAAAATCTTAGAAAATCTTTATTTTCATCCAAAGTGAAACATGTACAAAATTTCATTGCCAGATAACTAAATACAAATATCTAAAATTACATCATTACTATTCATGGAGGCAGTTACTGAGTTATACACAGCAGTCGTACAGTGCTTTCACCCAAAGATCATTCAACATATTAAAAATGAGCATTCATATTACTTTTAACCATTTAGGTTTAGAGGAAAAACATGAAGTGAAAAAGATTTCGTGTTACTTTTCCATATTTCCATATTCTATGGAAAGAATAGCAAAATACCTTCAAAACTAAATAAAAGTGAAAAACACAAGCTTAAACACCTTAATGTTCAATAACTATTCCTGAAGTTGTGAATGGCTTGTTTCAAATTTTTAACATATTCGTTACTGCAAAAGATTCTTAAGACAGTACAAATAACTCTTGAACAATACCTTAGAAAATCGTATTCCCCTAAAGGAGAAGGGTATTCTTGTATTCACAGTCTCTACAAGCAAAATACAAAATACAAAAAGTTACATTGGTCATCATTAGGTGATTTTCTTTTTTAAATGTAGTATGGAGTGCACCTTTTACATTGCTACTGGCAGAGATAATCCCAAGCAAACCGTAGAAGTAATGAATTTTACATCCTATGATTCTCCTGTGGCTTCCTCTGCCACCCCACGCATCTCTCAGTATCAGCCCAAATTTTATCCCTCAAGAGATGCAAAATTTTAAGGCCTACTAGTCTCAATAGTGAATGAATGAACAAGCTAGTGTTCATATATTTCATTCCAAATTATATATGTACATATTTAATACTGCTGCTCCTTCAGCAAAGTAATAATAGGTCTTCCTAAAGGTGAAGGAGAGAGTTGAGAAGCAGCCAGGATACCAAATCTCCTTCCAATTCCACCACTGAGAAGCGTGAGTAGTCACTGTTGAAATGCAAGGCCATGGGCCTGGCCCCACAGATGCTGTGGAACACAGAGTCAGGAGTGTAGGACACACCACATTCCACTGACCTAATAAGGAACTCCAAAGGAGTGAATTTACAGGATGAGGATAGAAAAGTAGAAATGTTTTGAATCTCTAACAAAAGCAATAGTGGCCAAAAATCTCTTTTGAAGTAATATAGTCAAACGCAAACTATAATTCTCCTAACTAGCTAAAGACAATCCTTAATGGCAAATGAATAGACTTTTTCTGCATATATGTACTTCTATTTTCATAAAAAAAATCTATTTGCTTCAGAGTATATCCTTATTCAGGGTATTAATACACTGAGATATTAGTTCTTGAGCTTAGCACAGTGATCATATCTTCATGATGCCATGATTTTTTATTCAAGGCCACTCCATTTCAAATTTAATAGTTCAACAAGTATTTATTGAAAACAACTATGTACCAGGGACTGAGGAGACAATAGGCTAGTACACACTGTTCCTTCTCTCAAATAGTTGAAGTCTATTGGGGACATAGGTGTGTAAAGATACAAAGATACAGATACAATGGCATAAAAAGATGTAGCAAGAATAAAGGCAGTGTAGCATTTTTGGTGAGAGTGATGGTTCTGGATCTGAATCCCAGCTAGCTCCTCTACTTGGAGTGTGGCTTTGGGCAAGTCATTTAACTATACTCTGTGCTTTAGTAAGATGGCAATGGATAATAACACCTACTTCACAGGGATAACATGAGGCTCTATGACTTACCACTTGTAAGTGCTCAGAACAATGCCTGGAATGTAGCACTCCTTATATTTTATTAGCATGAAAATATTATTTATTAGAACATTAAATGTTATTCCTTCTCCTTTCTAGACCTTCTTCCCGGGGCATCTTGTGAATAATAATGATGTCATTAATATTACCACTGATATTATAATTACTGTTATTCACAAGATGGCGTGGGAAGAGATTCTAGAAAAAAGAAGGAAGTGAGTTGAATTGTCATAAAGGATGGGGAGGAAGGAACAGAAGGACATTCCAAAGGGATGAAAAAGAGGAGCAAAGGCAGGAAAGTGAAAATCAGTGTGACTAACACATACACCATGCCAGTGGCTCAGCATTATTAAAGCAACAAAGACATAGGCGTGCTTAGAAGTAAATCTGAAGAAGTAAACATAAATGGGCTCAGGTTCCATTTGAGAGAATGGAGGCAATGAAAGAACATCCAAGGGTGTGAAATGGTCAGATTGTGATTAGAAACATGGGTCACCATGTTGTGGATATGGGTTTAAGGGGGCACTAAGACTCAGGGAGACCAGTGAAAGGCCAGGAGGTAGTGACAGAGGTGAAGAGAAGAAGTAAATGCCTCCATGCCCACCAATTCAGGTGCCTTCCTGTGTGGATAAATCTGGACTATTTCATCAGCCTGCTGCTTTCCTTAAGAGTACTTATCATAAACCGAATCTTATTTCATTTTTATGTAATTTCATGACTAAGTTATGAGCTTACTTACTAGTTTACAAGTTCCATGAGGACAGGGGCTTTGCTTTGATCACTTCTGAATCTCCAGCTCCCTAGTATCTGGTCCCTGAGTCTCTGGCTCAGCTACATAATTTGCAAGGTCAAGTGTAAAATGGAAATGGGGGCCCCTTATTCAAAAAGCAGGAGAGACATCCTATTCAAGGTAAGGAAATATAAAGCTTTTTCCTTTCTTCCACAGTCCTTCTCTAGACTTGCCATGATATATTTGCTATGTAATATCATTTGAAGTCAAACAGAATTTTAAATTACCATTCATCTTTATATTGCACAATGACAGCTTAAAACACAAATATCAGAGCTTCAGGTAGAATCACTGAATTTACACAATTTGTATTTGGTAGCTCATCCCCGAAGGTATGTCAAGCTGACCAGAGAAAATTCACATAAGCTTGACTCAGGAAATTTGAAAAAAGGAAGAGAAGATCTCCCCAGGCATGGAATGATCCAAGGGAATATTCTCTTGGCACTGAGTGAAAGGGGAGTATAGAAGCTCAAAGATACCCAGGGGGCTGCTTCATGATGGGGGCACCTGTGCAAAGTGTGGGCCTGACAGCTGCCTAAGGTCCCCCTCCCCTATGCTGCCATTTGCCTCATGATTCACATGGGAGCAGAGAAGACAAATCAGACTTCTTTCCTTCCCACTGGCGTGCTGTCCCACGAGTGACCCTCAAGGGTTTTGCAACCTCCATGTAATACCTGCATGAGCTACCCATTGGTGGGGAGGCAGTCTTGCCCCCAACTAGTCACCCATTGAACAGTGCCAGCCCAGGTGGAGTGGCCACATCCCACTGCAGACACTGTAGGGCCCCTTCACCTGATCCTGACCCTCCCTGCATCCAAGGCCCCCACCAGGTGGCAGGGGTCACTGGTTGTAACTGGGAAGGGGTTATCAAGCAGGGCCCAGGGTGCCAGCAGAGCAGTGGGTAGCAGGGAGCCAAGAACCCATCTGGGGGAGTTGCATGCATGCCTCATTGTCCTATCAGACTACACTTACAAAACACACACTCAAAGATAAAATTATTAAGAATCTCAAGACTATTATCACAAAATATTAAACTCTAAATGTGAAGCCCTCTGAATATGAGGCCCTCGTTGTGAAGCCAATCCTGAAAACTTTGTATGAGAGAGAAAGGAAAGGAGATGGACAAGACTTGAGGATTTGAGAAAGAAATCAAGGGTAACTCTGAGATTTCTATCTGGGGAGACTGTCCAAATGTTCACCAGGTCAGGTAGGAAGAAGGGGCACTAACCTTCTCTGAAGGGGGTAGTCTTTTTCCATTGTTTTGTCTCTCTTAGAAAGCTCATATGTTGCTCACATAGCCCATTCTACTCTTAGGGGAGGTTAGCCTGAAGCTTCTCCCCACATTCAAGAAGCCAGAGGAGAATTGAGGCAGAGCCAGAGGAAAGGAAGATAGAACCCCTGCTTAGGCTCCTCTCTATTCTCCCCATGCAGCTCACTTGTGGTCCAGCACGCTTTTTTGTGACAATCATGCAAAATACAGGACCTAAGCCTTAGATGGTGTTATGGGTTGAATTGTGTCCCTCAAAAAGATGTTGAAGTCCTAACCCCCAGTACCTGTGAGCATGGCATTATTTGGAAACAGCACCTTTGCAGGATGGTCAAGATGAGGTCATTAAGGTGGGCCTTAATCTCATAGAACTGTCTTTATAAAGAGGGGAAATTTAGACACACAGACAGAAATGCATAGAGAGAAGACTATGAAGGGACACAGGAAGAAGATGGCCATTTACAAGGCAAGAAACACCTGGGCCTTCAGAATCTTGGGAGAGGAGCCTGGAGCAGATCTGTCCTTCACCCCATCAGAGGGAGCACAGCCCCACCAATACTTTGATTTTGGATTTCTGGCTTCCAGACTGTCAGACATTAAATATCTGTTGTTCTTAGCGAGCCAGTTTGTGGTACTCTGTTATAGCAACCTTTCTGGAAGATTCTGGAAACAGGGCTAACATAATTAAATTTAAGATGCCTTTGAAGTATCCATTTATTTATTTTCAAATGTGTTTTTTTAATATTTTATTTTATCTGTTTATTTGAGAGAGAGAAGCTAGGTCTGTAGAGCATATGACTCTAAATCTCAGGGTTATGAGTTCAAGTCCCACATTGAGAGTGTAGCTTACTGAAAAGATGAAATACAATTGTCTTTATTTGAGAGAGAGAGCATGAGCATGAGCAGGGGTGGTGGGGAGAGGGATAAAGAGAAGCAGACCCCTCACTGAGCAGGGAGCCCGATGTGGGGTTCAGTCCCAGGACCTGGAGATCATGACCTGAGCCAAAAGCAGACACTTAACTGACTGAGCCACCCAGGTTCCCCTCAAACATGTTTTTAAAAGAAACAAAGTGTGTGTGTGTGTGTGTGTGTGTGTGTGCGCGCGCGTGCTTATAAGAAGTCGTAAAATTGTGGGTAATTTTTATTTTATTTTTGCTTGCCTACATTTTCTAAATACCATATCCTAAAAATATATGACTTTTGTAACAAATACAAAAAGGAAAATTATTTTAAAAGTAGATACGTATGGTACTTACTAATTTGATTCCCAATTTTCAAGGGTCTCTTGATAGCATCAGTGCTTCTTAAATCAGAATGCCCTGAGCTCTGAGCCCATATACTCAGCTACCAGATGGACATGTTTATTTGAGTGTTCCAAAATTACCTTGAGCTCAATATGCCCAAACCAGAACCCATTGCTTTCTCTTTAAAAATCTGCCCCTTTTCCTGTACACATCATTTCAGATAATACCACTTCCATTAATCCCCGTCACTGGCCCTCTACTAGTCCTTGAATTTACCTAATTTCTGGCTGCCACATCAAATCAATCGGCGATTGTCCTGCTGATCCTACCTCCAAATATGCCCTCTTTCTTCTCCTCCCCTCTGCTCCAAGGCCACCATCTTTGTTCAGCCGTCCTAGTCTCTCACACAGCCTCCTGGCTGCTCCTCCTTCCATCCCATTTTCCTGTCTCAGCCAACCCCCGCCTCCTTCCATATGGACACTAGTTAGCTGCAAAACTGAAAATCTCAGTGGGTCATCTCTACCCACTGATGACAAGAGGCAGGCCAATATTTTGTGCATAACTTACATGTGTGCTTCTGCCCCCTTTCCTAGGCTCATCTCCAGCAATTGCCCACAGCACATTCTGCTCCAACTACAAAACTACTCTCCAAACAAACCATATTCTTTCATGGCTAGATGCGTTTGCATATGCTGTCTCCTCTCCAAGGAATGTCCTTCCTCCTCCTTTCTGATGTTCTCAGATTCAAGACTTTAATAAAATACTCTCTGAAACTGTATCTGAGTTCTATCACAGAAAATTGATAACCATATAGTTAAAACCAGGAGCATATAAATCTATCAACGTTTATGACATTTCATTATAATTTTTGTTCCCGGGACTGTCTTTCCCAGTACAAAGGGACCTTCTGAGGAGAGAGACCCTATCATTCAACTTCGGATCACCAGAGCCTAAATCATGACTTGCTCAAATTAGGTTCAACAGATGTTTGTGAAAGGAAATGAGGGAGGGAGGGAGAGCCAACAGACTGGGATGAGTCTGACACATCTTAAATCTCAAGAAAGTGAAACTTTAAAAATTCAGATAAATGTCAACATAATCTCACAGAGATTAGGAGGGATTGTGGAACAGTTGTTTAAAAAAAAAAAAACAGTAATCTTTCAAGAGTTTTTTTTCTTTCAAAGAGAAAGCATGGTACAGTGGAAGAGTGAGCCTTAAGAGTCATGAGGCTACTCTGTTACTAGCTCCAAATGGCCAAGGACACATTTTGAATCACTCCAGGCATTGGCCTCCTTACTTGTAAAAATGACAAGACTATGAAATCAGGAATAAAAGGCTTCCTATTACCTACATGAATATTTATTATTCAAGAACCATACATCTTGAATTCTTATTCTGAACACAGTACTAACCCTTTCTTTATGCATTCTCTAATTATATCCTTAAAATCACGAGTCCAATAGCTTTCACTGTCCCCATTTTACAGATGAGGAAAATGAGGCTGACAGAGGTTAAATAACACATCCAAGGCCACATTGCTGGTAGGTGGAAAAGCTGGGACAGAGACTCCGGTCTTTCCAACTCTGAGCCCAGACTTAGAAGCAATGCCTGCTCCATTATTTGCATATGTTTTGGGGGTAGCAGACAAGTCAGGACTGTGGAGAGATGGTTGGCTAGGGGATACATCTCAAAGCTTCACTAACACAGCAAAAAATTGATGTACTTAGAAACAATTTTCTTAATGACGCTAGAAAATGTATAATCAAATTGATGTAAATGTCAAAGCTAGTATAAGCCTGTTATGAATTTTTATAGTACCCTCATTCCATTAATTCCCAATCTTTATAATATTTTGTCCCATCTGTATCTAATTGATGCTATGTTGCTAAATTTGATGTATGCATGTAAACTACCTAGAATCCTTTTTTTTTTTTTTTGAAAGAGAGAGAGAAAGAGAGAGAGCTCGGGATAGGGAGAGTAGAGAGAGGGAGAGAGAGAATCCCAAGCAGACTCCCCCCTGGGCAGGGAGCCTAAGACAGGGCTTGATCTCACAACCCTGAGATCATGACCTGAGCCAAAATCAAGAGTCAGACGCTTAACTGACTGAGCCACCTAGGTGCCCCTACCTAAAATCTTTTTTTTAAACAAGAGATGGCACAGGTTATAATGGTAACTAATTGTATAGGAAAATATTCAACTGCAATAGTAATTTTTAAATGTCAATAAAACAATTGTTTTTTTTAACCTAATAGGTTTTTTTTTAAACTTCTTCTTTTTTAGATGATGACGTCCAAGACAGACAGAGATTAACAAAACAGAGATTAAACTACTGTACATACACAATGCTGGTGATGTAAGGTATATGTTGATACATTCCTTTAGAAAAGTGATTTGGCCTACGTAGACAAAACCACTAATGTAGTTAACCCAGTTATGCTCAGATACTTCCCTAGGAGTTATATATAACTTCTTGCAAACACATTCAAATATAAAATGTAAGGAAGACTATATACAGAAATATATTTATTGCAATATTATTTATAATAGTAAAAAATATCAGAAGGAAACTAATATCCAACAGGATCATGTTTTTTTTTTAAGATTTTATTTATTTATTCATAAGAGACACACAGAGAGAGAAAGAGACATAGGCAGAGGGAGAAGGAGGCTCCCTGAGGGGAGCCTGATGTGGGACTTAATCCTAGGATGCCGAGATCAGGACCTGAGCCAAAGGCAGATGCTCAACCACTGAGCCACCCAGGTGCCCCATGGATTATGGTTAAATAAACCACAGCATACCCACTAAGGGAGATGTTTCACATGTAATGTTTATACTTTGGTTTTTGAATCACATGGATTATCTAGTCAAAAAATGAAATACAATAATTTTTAAAAAGAAAATTACTGAGACACCAGGCAGGCTCAGTTGGTAGAGCATGTGACTCATAATCTTGGGGTTGTAAATTCAAGCCCCATGTTGGCTGTAGAGATTAAAAATAAAATCTTTAAAAAAAAATAAAGGAAAATTATTATAGTGTAGTATACTTAAAAGTACAGCAGCAATGTACATTCATTGAAAAATCAGAAGGAAATACTCCAAAATGTTTTTAGAAATATTATTCTGTGACATTCTTGTTTATACTTCCCAATTTTTGGTAATGTGATAGTATATTATTTATAAACATTTAAGCTATTTAAAATACTAGTTAAAAATTATTAAGGAAAAATTCATGAGTTTGCAATAAGTGACCTTTAAGGTTCTAAGCTCTGAAATTTTGTAATTCTGTGAATAACAACAGGATGGAAAGAAGTGGAGAAAGATATTGAAGAAAACATGGTAGAAAAATCTAGTGAGGTTTGTTTTTAATAACTTTTTTTTTTAATTCCTTTTTTTCTTTCCCTACTGATTCCACCAATCCTGTTCCCTTGACTGTGGTTCAGTGAGATTCTATAACAAATGTAGTGTTTAGAAAAAGGGATCCATAACCAAGGGCAAATGTACAATATTAAACTAAACAAGGTAAAAATTTTAATATGCCTTCAAACACACTTAAATAAGTACCATCTTCATAATAATTCAGTAACATAATTGTAAAATACTTAAGCTATTTAAAGTAAAAACTTTGGATGAAAAAATTATCAGAAAAGGAATGGCACATTTTCAGTGCATTTAATATTCAGAACATTCTCATAAACAATTATGTTATATTACGAAAATAATACGAATTAAATGCTTACCTCCCTTCAGAGCTCTGCAAAAAGAATAAACATCATCAGATCCTCGGCAAATAACTTCTTTGCGCGTTGGTAAATGCATGGAGTTAAAAGATATATAGAGATTGAAATATAGTTTTTTAATATCTCTTCCTTAAAAAGAAAAAAAAACATTAGTCCTTCAAATAATAGATTCTTTAATAAATAATAATTAATATGTACCTTACACTTACACTTGCCTGACACTTTATTTCATTTAATCATCACAACAACTTACCATGTGGGCATTGCTACATCACTTTGTTAAATCATCACAAAAACTTAGTGCTATTCCAGTGTAACACATGAGAAAACTGAAGTTCTAAGAGAATAATTAGTAGACTGTAACCAAACAGAATATTCTACAGGAAGAATTATGTATGCTATGCCTGAAAAGAGGAGCCTATGTTTTTGAGAAAACTATCAAACGGAGATGTAAAATTTCCAGTTCTAGTTACAGTTGTGCTAGGAAGTTCAAGAAAAAAGAAAGGGGATGGAAAAGAAATAAGGATAATCAACTCATGCCCACTTTTTTAGGAGTTTTGATGAAAGAATTCTTGAAGAATAAAACAATCTTTTTATTAAAAATTACACAAGTTATGATTTCCTCATGGTCTCCCTAATACCGTTTAATATGGAAAATTCCATTAAACACTGCATTTTGCTCAACTCTTCTAATTTTTTCAGTTGGCCCAACTGGATAATACATACAATCTTTTTTTATGATAAAAACAATTATTGTGGGGCTCATGGCTGGCTCAGTAGATAGAGCATGGAACTCTCAATTTCAGGGTCATGACCTTGAGTCCCATATTGGGTATAAAGATTAATTTTTAAAAAATTATTATAACCACTACCTCTCTGAAAATATTTTCCTAATAAAGTCCCCATAATTCATTATAGCCAAAATCAAAAGAACACTTTTCCATCTTTAACCTGAACTTGGTATGCTTAACAGAAATGCTCAAAACTCCTTCCTTTGGCTTTGGTGCTACCATTCTCTTCTAGTTATCCTCCAATCTCTCTGATTCCTTCTCCTCATTGGCTTCTCTTTCTTGGAGTTGCGTCCTGGGTTCTCAATTTTCACGTTGCACATACACTCTGGCTTTAAGTACCACATAGGGTATAAATTCCCAACTCATCATCTTTAGTCTCAACCTTTCTCCTGAGCACCTGTCCCACATATGTGTTCAGTATCTCTACTCAAATGTTGCTCATTGTCTCACTGAACAGATCCAAAATTGACTTCTTTGTCTTCATCACTACATAGGCATTAGAATTCCCGGTCCTAGTAAATCTTACTAGCCTTCTTTTTATCCTCATCATCACTCTCTTAATGCAAGCCCTCGTTACTCTGAGCCTAAAATATCACCAAACTACCTAATTTGTCTCTATATCTCTACTTTCATGGCAAAGTGTAGAAAAGAACATCATAGGGTCTGTTTTAAATAATAGTTCCATGGTTCACTCCATGAACAGCCTGCACACTCCAAAAGCAGGGATATGTGTAGAAGTTGATGGGCTGTTCTCACAGGGAATTCCTTGAGACATGAGTAGATGGTGGTACTGTTGTGGTACCAATGACAATTCAAGACAATAAAACTTCTTTCATTTCTGCACGGAACACAGCATGATTCAAGAAAGGATATGCTGCTTTGACATCTCAACAGTATACATCTTGAGAAGCTCCTTGCTCCTGGGCATCACTGTGGTCATTTTAGGCACACGAACAATAGACAAAGTGAGATACCATGTGTATGGATACCAATGTAGGTGTCAGAGTGAGAGATAAGAAACAGAGTAGCTTTACACGGTAACAAAGAAAACTGTTTCTGAGCTCAGCTAAGACAACTCCAAGAACTTTCAGATATAACTTTGAAGGAGGGTTAAAGTCCAGCTTTATCTATTTTTTTATTAATCAGTTAATAGTACACAAATAATTTGCTAGCAAAGCTATAGTCTCAAAATAATTTCCATCCCAAACTTATTTTTGCTTCAAGTTGTTTTAGCTCTTATTGAATTTAAGTAGCGATAGGCCCATAAAAATAAGGTTTGATTTCTATGAATATGGCCCCACATTTTATACAGACATTCCAATACATTCTAGGGAAGCTCAGGGAAAATATGACTAAATAATCAATGAAACCAGGAGCTGATTCTTTGAAAAGTTTGACAAAAGTGATAAACCTGGGATCCCTGGGTGGCGCAGCGGTTTAGCGCCTGCCTTTGGCCCAGGGCGCGATCCTGGAGACCCGGGATCGAATCCCACGTCAGGCTCCCGGTGCATGGAGCCTGCTTCTCCCTCTGCCTGTGTCTCTGCCTCTCTCTCTCTATCTGTGTGATTGTCATAAATAAATAAAAATAATTAAATAAAAAATATTAAAAAAAAAAAGTGATAAACCTTTAGTCAGACTCTTAGACTCATCAGAGAGAGAGAAAGAGAGAGAGAGAGAGAGAGAGAGAGAGAGAGAGAAGGGACTCAAATAAACTCAGAAGTGAAAGAGGAGAAATAACAACCAATACCACAGAAATCCAAATGATTATAAGAGAACATCATGAAAAATTACATGCCAACAAATTGGACAACCTAGAGGGATGGATACATTTTTAGAAACATGTAACCTTCCAAAACTGAATCAGAGAAATAGAAAATTTTTCTTTTTTTTTTTTTTTTTATTTATTTATGACAGTCACAGAGAGAGAGGCAGAGACATAGGCAGAGGGAGAAGCAGGCTCCATGCACCGGGAGCCCGACGTGGGACTCGATCCCGGGTCTCCAGGATCGCGCCCTGGGCCAAAGGCAGGCGCCAAACCGCTGCGCCACCCAGGGATCCCAAGAAATAGAAAATTTGAACAAATTACCAGCAATGAAATTTATTAAATAAATATGTTAGGATATAAATTATATTAGTGATGATTAAGACAATAATGATAATGATGATGGTTAGAACTGAAGTTTCTTAGGATCCTAGGACTTAGAGGCAACAGAGTTGATGAGAAAAAGAGGAAGAGCATTTTGTATGTTTCCACAGATACTCATCCATCTTAATGCTGTCACCAGCACTCAGTTTCATTTTTACTAAGCTGATGATGACACATAAAATCATAGAGAGGAAAAACAAGACACAGCACAAAACAAAACAAAAAATCATTGCCTTCTTTCATCCCATCATCATCATAGTTTTTCTTAGAAAGATCATCATTATTAAAAAAAAAAAAGTTGAGTCTTGCTTATTACAGATCTTTGATTAGTGGAAACCCGGCTTTACTTATTAATGAGCTGAATAGTTAATGGTTGACAAATGATATACCTATTAGATTATTAGGAGTCTCGAGTTATTTACATTTTACCCTCATGCCATATGTAATCCCCTCCCCCATGAGTGTGAGTTAGCCTCGTAGCTTGCTTCTAACAAATAGCATACAGCAAAGGTGATAGAGTGACACTTCCATGATTAGGCTACATAAGAATATTTTGACTTCTATCTTGTTAGCTGACTGTCCTTCCTGCTGGCTTTGATGAAGCAAAAAGCCATGTTGAAAAGGCCCATATGGCAAGGCACAGAATGCTGTCCAATAGCCAGACAGGAATTGAACACTGTCAACAACCACATGAGCTTAGAAGTGGTTGTTAGCTTCTTCCCTACTTGAACATTCAGAAAAGGCTCCAGTCCTGGCTGACACCTTAATTGAAACCTTGTGGGAGATCCTGAAGCAGACAAAACGTAGCCATGCCTAGACTACTGACACCCAAAGACTGCAAGATAATAGATGTGTTCTGTTTTAAGCCACTAAAATGTGGTAATTCATCACATAGAAATAGAAAACTAATACATGCACATTTGGAACACAATAATTTGTCATTAATAATTCTTGAACATTCTTCACTGAATTACAAAAAAAAAAGATTGAACTTACTTGGAATGTAGTAAAGATGCAAATATCCCTTGCTTCCCTTCATTGCTATACAGGGATTAACATCTATTGAAATAGGGGCTTTCATGTGATCTAAATGGAAGAATAAAGATAATGTCAATAAAATATTATAAATCATTTCTAGTAAGCAGAGTATTCTGACCATCATTCTCCAAAAGATGCCATTAAAATCATGAAATGAGAAAAAATTGAGGGTGGTTAAAAACATCTCACTCCCTAGAGGAGTGACATCAGCAAAATGGCAGAGTAAGAAGTCCAAGACCCTCCTTCCCCTCACAAACAGCAATTCAGCAACAACCCATGGACAAATTCCTTTTGCAAAAAATCAGAAATTAATTGAAAATTTCCTGTATTCCAGGAGAATGTTAAATCAGACTCACCAAGATCAGTAGAGGACATCCTTTTACCAGAACCCCTGCATCTGGAACAGCACAATCAGGAAAAGATCCCCTATAGTCCCTAGCTTCACTCAGGAAGCAAGAGGTTTGTTCATATATTCAGAGCCCCAAGTTTTCTAAGGAAAATACCCAAAGGAATAACAAATTAGAAAGTCGGAACAGACCCATAACTAATAAAGAGATTGAATAAGTAATCAAACATTTCCCAACAAAGCAAAGCCTAGGACCAGATGGCTTCATGGGTAAATTCTACCACCAAACATTTAAATAAAAATGAATACCAATCCGCAAGCTCTCAAAAAATTGAAAGAGACCATTTCCAAACTTATTTTATGAGCCCAGCATTACCCTGATACTAAAACCAGACAAAGACACTGCAGAAAAAGAAAACTATGAGCCAATAACTCTAGTGAATATAGATATAAAAAATCTCAACAAACTACTAGCAAACTAAATTCATCAACAAATTAAAAGGTTCATACACCATGACCAAATGGGATTTAATCCCTTAGATCCAAGTTTTCAACATAAGAAAATTAATTCATGCAATATACCACATTAATAGGATGAAGTATAAAAATCACATGATTATTTCAACAGATGCAGAAAATGCTTTTGACAAAATTTAACACCCTTTTGGTTTTTTTTTTTGTTTTTTGTTTTTTTAAATTAATTTTATTTTTTTATTTTATTTATTTTTTTTAGTTTATTTATGATAGTCACACACAGAGAGAGCGAGAGAGGCAGAGACACAGGCAGAGGGAGAAGCAGGCTCCATGCACCGGGAGCCCGACGTGGGATTCGATCCGGGGTCTCCAGGATCGCGCCCTGGGCCAAAGGCAGGTGCCAAACCGCTGCGCCACCCAGGGATCCCTTTAACACCCTTTTGTGACAAAAACTCTCAACAAACTAGGGAAATGGCCTTAAGATAATAAAGACCATTTATGAAAATCCCATAGCTAACATTACACTCAATGACAAAAAAAACTGAGTTTTCCTCTAAGATTAGAAAGAAAGCAAGAAAGCAAGGATAGCCCCTCCTTACATAGCACCAGAGGACCTGGTCAGATCACTTAGGCAAGAAAAATAAGTAAAAAGCATCAAGATTGAAAAGAAAGAAGTAAAAGTTTCCTTGTATGCAGACATGATTTCTTTTTTTAAAAGATTTTATTTCTGAGGCACCTGGGTGGCTCAGTCAGTTAAGCATCTGCCTTTGGCTCAAGCCATGTCCCCTGGGTCCTAGAATCAAGTCTTGCATCTGGCTCCCTGCTCAGTGGGAGGTCTACTTCTCCCTTACCACTCCTCACTACCTGTGTTTTCTCTCTCTCTCTCTCTCTAATAAACAAATAAAATCTTAAAAAAAAATCTTATCTTTAAGTAATCTCTACACCCAATGTGGGGCTTACACCCACAATCCCAAGGTCAAGAGTCATATGCTCCACTGATAAAGCTAGCCAGGCTCCCCAAGACACAATTTCATACACAGAAAATCCTAAAGACTCCATTAAAAAAAACTATTATAACTAATCGACAAAATCAGGAAAATTGCAGGATTCAAGTCAACATACAAAATCTCTATATACTAACAATGAACTACCTGAAAGGAAATTAAGAAAACAATCTAAAAGAATAAATACCTGAAAGTATAAATACCTAGGATTAAACTTGATAAAAGAGGGGAAAGATTTATATACTGAAAGCAACAAAACCTGATGAAAGAGATTCAACAAGACACAAACAATGGAAAGACATCCTGTGTTCATTCACTGGAAGACAGTATTCTTTCTTTTTTTTAAGATTTTATTTTTAAGTATTCTCTACATCCAATGTGTGGTTTGAATTGACAAACCCGAGATTAAATCATATGCTATACCGACTGAACCAGCCAGATGCCCTAAAAGAATTAAAATTCTTAAAACGTCCATATTACCCAAAGCAATCACAAATTCAATGTGTTCCCTACCAAAACCTCAGTGGCATTTTTTAAAATACTTATTTATTTATTTTAGAGAGAGAGAGCACGCAGGTGGGGGCTGGGGGTGCAGAGGGAGAGGGAGAGAGAATCTCCAGCAGACTCTACACTGAATGTGGAGCCCAAAGCAGGGCTCAATCTCACAACCCCAATATCACAACCTAAGCTGAAATCAAGAGTCAGAGGCTCAACCAACTGAGCCACCCAGACACCCCTCAGCGGCATTTTTTTTTACAGAAATAGAAAAGACAACTCTAAAATTCATATGGAACTACAAAATAGCCAAATTAAACTTGAGAAAGAGGAACAAATCTGAAGGCATCACACTTCCTAATTTCAAAATATATTACAAAACTACAGTAATAAAAAATAGTGTGATGCTGACATAAAGACAGACATAGAGACCAGTGGACCTGAACAGAGTATCCAGAAATAAATTCATGCATATATTGTCAAATTATCTTTGACAGGATGCCAAAAATGCATAATAGGGAAAGGATGGTCCTTTGAACAAATAGTGTTGGGAAAACTAGATTTCTACATGCAAAAGAATCCAATTGGACCCTTATCATATGCCATACACAAAAATCAGCACGAAATGGATTAAAGACTTAAACATAAGATTCAAAACTGTAAAAGCCCTAGAAGAAGACAGAGGAAAAGTTTCAAGACATCAGTCTTGACCATGATTTCTAAATATGACACCAAAACACAGGCAGAAAAAAACAGAGATAAGTGGAACTACATCAAACTAAAAAACTTCTGCACAGCAAACAATCAACAGAGTGAAAAGGCAACATATGGAATGAGAGGATATATTTGCAAACTGATAGATAATAAGGGGTTAATCTCCAAAATGTATAAGGAATTCTAACAATTCAATTATTTTAAAAAAAAACCAATAACCTGATTTAAAAATGAGCTGAAGACATTTTTTCCAAAGAAGACAATCAAATGGCCAATGGGTATATGAAAAAATGTTCAACATCACTAAGTATCAGGGTAATGCAAACCAAAATCACAATGAGATATCACCTAACACCTGTCAGATAGCTATTAACAAAAAAGCAAAAGGCAAGTGCTGGCAAGGATATAGGGAAATTGGAACACTTATACACCATTGGAGGGAATGGTGTAAAATGAATGCAAAATTTAAAATAGAACTACCACATGATCCAGCAATCCCATTTCTGGGTATTTATCCAGAAGAACTTCAATCAGGATCTCAAAGAGATAATTACATTCCATGTTCACTGCAGCACTATTCACAATACCCAAGATAAGAAAGCAACCTAAATGTCTATAGATAGATGAATAGATAAAGAAAATGTGGTCTATACATACAGTGGAATACTATTCAGCCTTAAGAAAAAAAGGAAATTTGGGGGACACCTGAGTGACTCAGTGGTTGAACATCTGCCTCTGGCACAGGTCGTGATCCCGAGGTCCTGGGATCGAGTCTTGCATCAAGCTCCCTGGAGGGAGCCTTCTTCTCCCTCTATGTCTCTGCCTGTCTCTGTATGTTTCTCATGAATAGATGAATAAAATATTTTTTAAAAAAAGGAAAATTTGCAATATGCCATAACATGGATGAATCCTATGAACATTTTGCTAAGGGAAATAAGCTGGTCATAAGGACAAATACTGCAAGATTCCACTTACAGAAGTATCTAAAATAGTCAAATTCATAGAATCAAAGAGTAGAATAGTGGTTGCTAGGGCCTGGGGGTAGGAGGAGATGGGGAATTACTAACCAACAGGCATAAAGATTCAGTCAAGCAAGATGAATAAGTTCTAGACCTCTGCTGTATGACAGTGTGCCTATAGTCAACAATATTGTGTTGTATACTTAAATACTAAAGAGGTGAGATCTCGTGTAAAGTGTTCCTACTACCGTAAAATGGATTTTAAAATACTGTACAAATACAGAAAAGAAACTTTCCCATAACGTAAATATTGTTTTAATTCTCTAATATTGTTAAAGTGGAAGCTGAAGATACTGAATTACTTTAAACTGGGTGGAGGAAAAAAACAAAAAAAAAATTCATAAAAATTACTTGTTCTATCTTGGAATGTTTTAACCTTTTCCTGTCAACATGGCTCTCCACTGTCTTCACTTTATGCATATTCCATTGGTTCAAAATAGAAAATACACAGCAAGTACTTAGGGATCTGGTAAATGTTAAATGGGTAAATAAATGAATGAATAAACTAATGAATAGTCTTCCTGAAGAAAGAGTTTCAAAAAAAGTATAGAAGAGAAGTTCATAAAAAGCACTGAGAAGTAGGGGAGAGAGACGATAGTAGGGTTTGCAGATTTACCCCTGAATGCAACTCTTAAAATTAATGTTGGGGGCACCTGGTTGACTCAGTCTGTTAGTATCAGATTCTAACAGTTTTGGTTCAGGTCGTGATCTCAGGGCCATAGGATTTAGCCCCACCATGTGCTTCCGGCTCAGTGTGGAATCTGCTTGAGATTGTCTCTCCCTCTCCCTCTGCCCCTATCCCCTGCTCATACTCTATAAATAAAGTAATTAATTAATTAATAACCTTTAAAAATTAATGTTAACACCTCTCATTCAATTAATTGAGTTTACCTGCAACAAAATTCTTATAGAATGAATTATATTAACAGTCATTTCACTTAATCGCGGATGTTCACAAATATTTGACCAAAAGATGTTCATCACTAAATAGTTTATGACCAAGGAAAAAAGCCCAATTTACAACATGGATGCCCTTGAGGGGCAGAGAAAGACAAATACTGTATAATCTCTGTAACATGCAGAATCTACAAAATAAAACACTAAATTTATAGATATAGAGAAGAGATTGGTGATTGCCAGAGGTAGAAGATGGGCATGGACAAAAATAAATGAAGGTAGTCCAAAGATGCACTCGTGGAAAGGGCAGAGGGAGAGAATCTTCAAGCAGACTCCCCGCTGAATGCAGAACCCAGATGTGGGGTTTGATCCCATGATCCATGATAACATGACCTGAGCCAAAATCAAGAGTCAGATGCTCTACTGACTGAGCCACCCTAGTGCCCCAGCATGTGACTCTTGACCTTGAGGTTGTAAGTTCAAGCCCCATGTTGGGTGTAGAAATTACTTAAAAGTAAAATCTTTTTTTTTTTTTTAAAGGTGACATAATCGATGTGTGATACCTAGAAGCCAAAGGAGAGGAGAAACTTGGCAGTAGAGTGGACTAGGGGGGCTTTCCGGAGGCAGAGAGGTAAACTGACTTTGTAGGATGGAAAAATTTCAGAGATAGGGACCCTGGGTGGCTCAAGCAGCTGAGCATCTGCCTTTGACTCAGGGCATGATCCCAGAGTCTGGGGATCGAGTCCCACATTGGGCTCCCAGCATGGAGCCTGCTTCTCCCTCTGCCTGTGTCTCTGCCTCTCTTTCTCTGTGTGTCTCTCATGAATAAATAAATAAAGTCTTAAAAAAAAAAAAGAAAAAGAAAAATTTCAGAGATAAGTTGCAAGGGAATTTAGTACAATCCACACATAGGAAAAAAAGCCACAATAAAAGATTGGTCACACAGTTAAATCTTGTCCTCACACCTGGCAATTACTCTAATTCTCTGTAAGTAGCTTTGTATTGGTATTTGCCAGACTGTGTTTCTCAAGACAATCAACACATGCTCAAAAAATAAAATAAAATAAAATTGAAAATCTGGATTAAATAGGTTTCAGAATTTTTCAGAACTCAAAGTACATTTGTAAGTCTCCCTCAAATGATTAGACCACCAATCCTTTTTCCCAACAGAATTTCAAAGAACCAGCATTTGCAGAAGCATCAAACCTTCCTGATATGACTAATGTGTAGAAAAGACCAGTCAACCCATGATGAGCAAACCAGTGGAAAATACCAAACCAAAACTGCAGTCTAGCTCTGATGCTGTGCTTTCAGACTGGCAGATATTTGTAGAGAAATAGGGAGGAAAAACAAAAAACCATGATGCAGCTAGTTAACATTAGGGTATGGCTGATTTTTTAAGTAATCAATACTTGTTTGTATGTGGCTATGTGCTGAAAACTCAACAATCCTCGTAAAACAGCTTTAAAATCACTTTCGGTGGGCAGCCCAGGTGGCTCAGGGGTTTAGCACCACCTTCAGCCCAGGGTGTGATCCTGGAGACCTGGGATCGAATCCCACGTCGGGCTCCCTGCATGGAGCCTGCTTCTCCCTCTGCCTGTGCCTCTGCCTCTCTCTCTCTCTCTCTCCCTCTCTCTCTGCGTGTCTCATGAATAAATAAATAAAATCTTTTAAAATAATAATAATTGTATTTAAAAAATCACTTTTGGTGGCACCTGGGTGCTCAGTCAGTTAAGCATCCAACTCTTGATTTCAGCTCAGGTCATGACCTCAGGGTCATGAGATCAAGGCCCACCTTGGCTCCACACTGGGCATGGAGCCTGCATGAGATCCCCTCTCTTCTCTCCCTCTGCCCCGCCCCCCACAATCTCTCTTTAAATAAATAATAAATAAATAAATAAATAAATAAATAAATAAATAAATAAATAAAACTTATAAAATCACTTTCATTTTACAGTCAAAAAAGCTGGGACACAGAGAGGCTAAGTATTTTTTACTCGAGGTCACACAGCTGGTAACTGACAGAACCAGGCTAACATCCAAATTAGGAGGTGACTCCAAGACTCCTCAAAAGTCACAGCCTCGAACAAGTACTTATAAAGCACCTGTTATGTTCCTACTGCTGTGCTGAAGAAGAAAAAAAATCACATACCAGAGCAATAATCAATTCCAAAAGGCTACCTTCTAAAGGCTGAGGCAAAAAGCTCAGAAGCAAAGAGTTCTGCCAAAACTGGGGAGAATTTGAAACTGGGCTCAAGGTGGAGAGAGTTGACTACAGGGAACAACAGAAGCAGCCGGAGGTTAAGTACAACACAGTTTAGAGACTGGTAAGGTCTGTGAAGGATTGAGAAAATCCACACAGGGCAGCCATCACCTTTGCTGCAAACAGCAGCTGGAATACACTGTCATTTCCTGTGTCCCTGAGACAGCAGCAGGGAGTTCTTATGAAAACTTAACCCCTGTACCACTTGTTGCTGTTTTACTTACCACAATAGGTATACCAAACACTGGCATCAGAGGAGTTGCAGATCCAATATTGCTCCCCAGGTTCAGTGAATATGGAAGAAAACAGAGTAGAAAAAAGCATAAACGGAAACATGATTTGGTATCCTCAAAACTTTAAAAATACAAGGAGACTCTGTAACTATTCATCTGACTCTTCCCTTTCAGTAAGCAGAAAAATTTAACTTAGTCATTGGTCACATGATTTCTGAGTTTCTCTCCTGAGTTTCCTCTTTCGTGTATATTTAGTATTTGAGCACTTCCGGCCAGTGGAGAGCAAAATGATTTAGAATATACTCTTCTAGAACACTTAATGCAAATGAGAGCACAGAACTTTAAAAGCAAAACAAGGTACTTCCTGGTCAATAGTAACAAAACCAGTCTGTAGGTCTCCTTTAGAATCCCAACAGACTGCCAGCCTTTCTGTATCTGCATTGTTATTCTCTCCCACAGGTTTTTTATGTAGTAAGTCTCATGGCCCAGGGAGCTGGACCTATAGGTCTGAACTGAATGGTCTGATGCAAACTATTTCTGCTCTGCAAAAAGTGCAGCCACAGGGCAGAGCCAGACGAGATGAGACCACAGACATGGGATATTAGCTGTAGTTCTGCCTTGTGGGCGGGGGCATACCAGTATTGTACTTAAGCAAAGTACAGCTCCAGGGAATATTTTGAGCCTTGATAAGGAAATGATCAATATTTTGCATGTGGCATGTATTTCAAAACTTGCACTCTGGTCTAGAAAAATAGCTCATCTTTTAGATACTTGCTACTTAAAATCCTTTGTAGGACATAGTTTAGGATTAGTAGCCAAAAATAAAAATAGCATGGAGTCAGGGCTTAAAAATCTACAAGTTTAGAGGAAAATAATCATATGTTGGTGAAAGCTTCCACTAAAGAACTGTGCTACTTTCCCATTTTTAAAAAGGCAAAAGTCTGTGGGAGGATAGGGAAGTGAAAGTTGTTAATGGGTATTGAGTTTTAGGTCTGCAAGATGAAAAGTTCTCAAGATCTGTTGCACAGCAACATAAATATAGTTAACACTACTGAACTTGTGCTTGAAGCTCGTTAAGATGGGAAATTTTATATATTTTTTACATTTAAAAAGTGAAAAAGAAGAAGGAAAGCCTATGAATGCCCCTAGTGGTCTCAAAAATACTATTTCCCACTAAAAGGAAGAAAGACTGGAGAAATAGCTGGTTCCAGGTCTGGGGCAGAAAAATGTGCATGATGGAGCCTGGAACATCTTAGCATATTAGATAACCAATAAGAAGACATTCCCCACTGACCAAAGATGGCTTTCCTATGGCTGCTGTAATGACTAACCACTAATTCAGTGGGGAGTCAGGGAGGCCTTCTTGGAGGAAATTACATCCAATAATTAAGAGGATTATATTGTATTATGTTGCAGTGTACTCACTGTATTTTATTGCATGACATCACATCATCAATGGCAGAGCCAGCTCCTTCTGCAGACTCTGGGGGAAGAAACTGTTTCCTTTTTCATCTTAGAGAGCTGCAACACTTGTATTCCTCCATCTTCAGAGTTCAGCACTCCCATCTCTGCTTCCGTCAGCACATCACCTTCTCTTCTGACCTGCTTGCTGCCTCCTTCTTATAAGAACTCTGTGATTACACTAAAACCATTGGGCTAATCCAAGATAATCTCCTCAATATCTATCTATAAAATACCTTTTGCCATTTAATGTGACAGTTTCCAGGCATGAACATCTTGAGGAATCATTATTCAGCCTACCTATAGACTATATAAACATCCAGATAGTAACTACAATGAACTGAAATACACCAATATATTCAAAAGTATGAGGTCATAATCTTTTAAAAGATTTTATTTATTTGAGAGAGAGAGGGATGCCTGGATGGCTCAGCAGTTAAGCGTCTGCCTTTGGCTCAGGGCATAATCCTGGAGTCCCAGGATCGAGTCCCACATTGGGCTCCCTGCATGGATCCTCCTGTCTCTGCCTCTCTCTGTGTGTATGTGTCTCTCATGAATAAATAAAGTCTTTATTTAAAAGAGAGGGAGAGAGAGAGAGAGAGAGAGAGAGTTAGAGAGAATGAACACAAGCCAGGGAAGGGGGAGATGGAGAAGAGGGAGGATCTCCAGCAGACTCTTCACTGAGTGTGGAACCCAATGTGGGGTCAGTCTCACAACCCTGAGATCACAACCTGAGCTGAAACCAAGAGTCAGACATTCAACCAACTGAGCCACCCAGGTGTCCTGAGCTCAAAAGTTGTTTAAAGCCTAATTAATCATTAGATGATGCTAGGAAGTCAACTCTTTTGAAAACTGGTAAATAAAGGGAAAGAATCAAGCATTTATCCTGACTTTTCTATAGAAACTGAGCTACTGGTAATCAGAGAGTAGATGGGACAAGTTTCCCTTGCCTCCTTATACTCTTTTTTCTCTACTTTTAGAAGTATTCAACTAGTATATGAAAAAGGAAAAATAGAATATAACCATTTTGCAAAACCTAATGAATCACTGAACTTAGGCACCAAGTATCAATGGTTTCTCACTTTACAAAGAGAGGAACAACCTTTGTGAACTTCTTTATGGATGAACACTATGGTAGCTAGCCTCCAAGATGGTTCCCAATGATCCTTATTTCCTAATATTCAAATCCTTGTGTAAACTCCTCCACCAATGAATAGGGCTGGCTCTGTAACAAATAAAATACTGCATAAAAGACAGTGTGCAACTTCCAAGCTAGATCATATACATCATTGTGGCTTCCATGTTGCTCTTCTGGCTCAGTTGCTCTAGGGAAAGGAAGTAACCCTGAAGAGAGAACCATGTGGTGAGAAACTAAGGCTGTCAAAAAGCCAGCAAAATGTCAGTCATGTGAGTAAGCCACCTTGGAAATCATGCCTCCTGCTCCAGTTCAGCCTTCAGATGACAGTAGTACCAGCTGATAGCTTGACTATAACCTCATGAGAGAACCTGGGCCAGAAGCATTCAGTTTAAGCTACTCCCAGATACTGGACCAACAGGCACCGTGCGGTATTTTGTTTTAAACCTCTAACTTTTGGGACACCTGGGTGGCTCAGATGGTTAAGTGTCCAACTCTTGATTTCAGCTCAGGTCAGGGTCCTAGAATGGACCCCCACATGGCTCCCCACTCAGTGGGAAGTCTGCTTCTCTGCTTTTCCCTCTGCCTCTTCCCTTGCTCAATCGCACTCTCTCAAATAATTCAGTCTAAAAAAAAAAAAAAACCCTCAAACTTTTAGGGGCAATTTGTTAATGCAACAACAGATAATATAAGCAACATCATCTATGAATTAGTCTTGTCCAAAATAATCAAATCTCAGTCTGATGAAGCTTCAAGTCCCACTACCAATTTATAGATCAGAAGACAGAGAAACATATTAAACTACACCTCAGTGATAACAATCAGAAAATCAAGACCACAAAAAGATGTAAATGACAAAGAACTCCAATTCTTCAAAAGATAATCTGCAAGGGAGAAAAAAACAAAGTGAAGGAAATGGAGGGGCCCATAGCTTAGAAGAGTCTTGAAAGACATTTCATAAATTGGTGTGAATAAGGCATGAACTTTACTTAGATCTTAATCCAAACAAAGTGTGGAGAGGAAATTGGAATTTGAACAGACTGGTATTTGATAACTTTGGGAAGAGAGGAGTGGCTTGGGTATTATAATAGTATTATATTTTTTTAAGTCCTCATCTGGTAGAGTTGCAAAATATTTAAGAAAGAAATGTTATGATGTCTGGGATTGGCTTCCAAATAAAAGTTGAAGGGAAGTGGTTGGGATATAAACCAAATAATATTGACAACAAATTGGTAATTGTTGAATCCGAATGATAGTCCTGTTGATTCATTATACTCTTCTACTTTTGAACGACTTAAATTCTCAACAAAAAGGAATCCCACAACAACAGTATTAAGTGTTCTGAAAAAAATCAGAATACAATTTTAAAAATTGTGTTCAAACTAAGGCTATCATTCAGACCTAATGGCCATTTTGTTACTTCTGCTTCCAAAAGCAGAAGTCTTTCAGGATAATGAAATTGACATTGAGAAAAGAGATTGCAAAACATATTATCAATCAGTATATTACATGATGTAACTCAGATGTTAAGCCAAGATCACCCTGCCTTTCGAGACTCAAAGCTGACTCAATGCCCTTCCTTTAGATAGTGGGAGACTTCTCACTTCCCCAACCTTTCCAAGATTACTCCACCTGTGGTGAAAGTAGTAAAGTGACAGAGATGTGTAAATTTCTCCTCCTCACCTTGGCCTGAATGGTTTCTGCTGACTTATTGCAGTGATGAATCATATTCTACACATGATGTTCCTTTTCTACTTCTTGGTATCACTCCAGATGATGTACTTAAGAAGTCATCTTATACTCTAAGCTTTTTAATTTTCCTTAAACAACTAAGTTGTCTTCTGAATTATTCTGATACAAATAAAAATAGGTTTTTTCACTCCACCACACAGGTGACAAAAATGGGTATATGGATACAGGACATTTAAAGAGATATGGTACACTCAAAACAAGTTATGAAGTGACCCTTGGAAAAAAAAAGTTAAAATATTAACAATGTTGTTTTTTCTTCTAGGAATGGAACTAAGTGATTTTTTTTCTTGCTCCTACTTTCTAATATTTGATGAACATTTGATTATGGAATAATTTTTTATAGGAAGATATAAATCACATTAACTTCAAGACAGCAACAGGTATATATCTAGGTAACACAGGACAAAGGAGCAGGCAGGCAGAGACCCAAACGGAAGACGCGGATGGCGCGAGCTTGTTCATCTTTCTGAGACTTAGAGGCCGTCTTCTGCTAGGATCACAAGCTAGCTGGTCCTAGCAGAGGGAAGGCTATAGATCTCAGAAAGGGGAGCACTTTCTTACCTTAACGCTATCTCCTATAAGCCTCTAGCAACTTCAGACCTGACCTTTGTGAATGAACTAGTGATGCTTCTGGTGCTTCCCCATTCCCCAGCTAACCCATAAAGATTAGATTTACCACCATGGCAGACAATAGGAGACATTAGGCAACTCCATACAGACTGGGGGTTTTGTTCTTAACTAGGACTCTGATAACAAGCACAGTACCTGGCACACGCTGGGCACTTAATAAGTTATCTACTAGTATAAATAGCATTACCTGAAGCCTTTTGCTACTTGCCAAAAAGCTTTCACAAGAACCAATTTTCGTTTTACAATTAGAGGTTAAAATCTTAAAATGCCAATACTTCATAAAACTAGCAGATTGTGATTTTATAAAAAGGTACTGTCCAACTATTTAGCACCTGATTTTCCAACTGATAGGATACACCAAGGGAGAAGAGTGCCACCAAAGACATCACTACTTAGGTCACCATCTCTCCTGTAACTACCACACTCAATGGGACATGGAGATCCTTATTATGGGAAACTATGCCTGAGAAGATAAACAAAAACTTGTGTTCTGAACCAAAGGGAGATTAACACTGCTTCCCATAATACTAGAATTTTTAAAAAAGCTTTTAATGTAGGCAACGTATCTATTCTTAGAAAAATCCAAACATAAAGGAAAAACAACTCTCATTTGTTTCTGACACCCGATCCCCAGCTTAGAGACAACCACACTTACTATATAAAATTATCCATGCATATGGCAGCATGAACGTGTATTTTCATACTTTTTTAAAAACACAAATGGCAGAATGTTACATGTTTTTTCAAACATAGCTTATTTTATTATATAGGAACATAATTCTCTGAAAATTAAAAGTTGTTTGATACAGTTTCAAATTACTTTCAGTTGCTAACAGAAAACAAAAGTAAAGGCAATTTTATCATACATTGGAACATAAATCACATTTAAGCACAAACCTAAAAAACAACAGATTCATTTCTCATCTTTAACCTGTTTCTTCTCACTGTCTGCTTCCGTATCAAAAGTGAATGGTTTGTCATAACCCATTAGATGGTCATAATCTTCAGGGTTTGGAAAGAGCACTGGATTAACTAACAGCGATTTTGTTTTAGCATAAAATGTGGTAAATATATGAGCGCTGTCTGGAATCCTCACGTCGTTCTGGTGAAACACTGTACTTTTTTCTAAAAGCACAACATTATAAGTAATGGCTTTGTAAGTGTCTGTTGTAGCTTCATGGTACAACCGAACAACATAGCCTTTCGTAACAAAGTGAAGCAGTGCTGGAGTAATCACTGTAAAGCTTCCTATGATGCCATAAAATAATATTTGCAAAGGTAGACTTCCAAATATAATATTGTTTTGTGCAAAAATATATGGTAGTAATGCAAGACTGATGACACTTGTAGAATAAGAGAAACATTTCACACCTAAGTAGGAAAAAAAAAACATGAGTATTAATATTTATAAATTTTATAAAAGAATCACATCTATCCAATTAATTCTTCCACCTTTCTTCTTATATCATCATCAAAACAACAAAACCAAAACACATATATAGTGATTATTATTTTCCAGGCTCTGTGTTAAGTTCTTTACATACTTTATGTATTTTATTCATAACATCTTCAAAAACACACTATGAAGCAGATGTATAATTATCACCATCACTCTCATAATTATCACCATCATATGAGAAAAATAAAGCACTTGCTCAATGTCACAAAACTACCAAGAGGCAGGCAGTATTGGGCTTCATACCCAAGCAATTTGATTCTAGTGTCCAGGCCATTGGCCAGTACAGTGCCCCTCCAGGCTGGAAAATTTGCTTTAGGGTTAGCTGGCCTCCACCTCAGTTCCCCAATAAAAGATTTAATATTACTCAAAGATCCTTATGAATACTATGAAAATTAATTCAGTCAGATTAAATAAAACTCTATTAACAAGCATTTCCACATACCTAACATTAAATGTTTACATATAAGACTAACATTATTAGATTAAGTGTCCAGGATTTTTTTTTTTAAGTGTCCAGGATTAAAACAGCAAATTACAAAAAAAAAAAAAAAACAAAAACAAAAAACAACACCAATGGTTAAGAAACATGTGAGAAATACATTCAACTTCTTTACCAAGAAAAGATATTCAAATGTTAAAACAGATATTTTTTTACCTGTCACATTAAAAAGATTAAAAATCAATGACTTCTGAAATGTGTATTTAAAAATGGTTAAAATGGTAAATTTTATTATTTTTTTTAAAGATTTTATTTATTTATGAGAGGGGGGGGGCAGAGACACAGGCAGAGAGAGAAGCAGGCTCCATGCAGGAAGCCTGACATGGGACTAGATCCCCGGTCTCTAGGATCACGCCCTGGGCTGAAGATGGCGCTAAAACATTGAGCCACTGGGGCTGCCCATAAATTGTATGTTATGTATATTTTACCACATTAAATAAGTGACTTAAAATGTAAATTTCTTAGTTTGATTGTATAATTTTACCATCTGTTTAGAAAATAGACAAGTTGAGATCCCAGACAAGTTGATTATAAAGCTAATTTAGAAAAACAAAAGAAAAAAAGAAAAAAAAAGGAAAAAAAAAAGAGAAAAAAAAAGAAAAACAAAAGAAGAAAAAAAAGGTTGGGGGAGGAGTTAGATACTCCTCCCTTCCTTCCTTCCTTCCTCCCACAGACAGTTGCTATGACACTGGCACACATACAACTAGATACAATGGGGACCAAGATGCCTCCTATATAAAAGCCTCCTTAGGGACACCTAGGTGGCTCAGCGGTTGAGCACCTGCCCCTGGCTCAGGGCGTGATCTGTGGTCTCAGGATCAAGTCCCACATCAGGCTCCCTGCCTGGAGCCTGCTTCTCCTTCTGCCTACGTCTCTGCCTTTCTCTGTGTCTTTCATGAATAAATAAATAAAATCTTAAAAAAAAAAAAAGGCCTCCTTAGTTCTTCCAACTACTTTTTCCCCATGATTTTGTCACTATGGTGGGTTGAAAAGTGTACCCCAAAATTCATGTCCACCCAAAAGCTCCAAATGTGACCTCATTTGGAAATAGTCTCTTTCTATATAATCAAAAATTGAGATGAGATCATCCTAGAATAGAGTAGGCCATAAATCCAATGAGAATATCCTTATAAGGACAGAACAAGACAGACACACAGAGAAGGCCACATGAGTAAGAAGCAAAAATTGGAGTTATGCAGTTATGCCCCCATAAGCCAGGAACACAACTGGTTACTGGGAGCCACTAGAAGCTGGAAAAGGCAAGGAATTCTTTCCTAGACCCTTCAGAGGCAGTATGGCCTTTATCAATACTCTGATTTCAAAACATGAGCTTTCTGAACAAATTCTGTTACTTTAAGTCATCAAGTTTCTGGAAATGTATTATAAGAGCCTGAGGAAACTAATACATATACTTTATTTTGCTTGGATTGAAGTAATTACTATTTTCTAAACATATTCTGGGCTTTCCCATCTTCATGTCTTTGCTCATACTACCCTATGCCCTTCTTTCACACCTCCTCATGTTCAAATTCTCCTCATCCGAAAATAAGACTATGACAAAGTAAGTCATTATTTGTTGATGAATTAACAAAAACTATCAACTAAAAGACCCTTCAAATGTCTTTAAACTGGTACCTATTTGGCAGTTTAAAGATCTCTAAAGGGATCTCTGGGTGGCGCAGCGGTTTAGCACATGCCTTTGGCCCAGGGCATGATCCTGGAGACCCGGGATCGAATCCCACGTCGGGCTCCCGGTACATGGAGCCTGCTTCTCCCTCAGCCTATGTCTCTGCCTCTCTCTCTCTCTCTCTGTGTGACTATCATAAATAAATAAAAATTTTTTTAAAAAATTTAAAGATCTCTAAAATGGGGGATGCCTGGGTGGCTCAGTGGTTGAGCATCTGCCTTTGGCTCAGGGCATGATCCTGGAGTACTGGGACTGAGTCCCACTTCGAGCTCGCTGCATGGAGCCTGCTTCTCTGCCTCTCTCTCTCTCTGTCTCTCATGAATAAATAAAATCTTTAAAAAAAGAATCTCTAAAATGGTACCTCTCTGTTATATATAGAAAAAAATGTTTCTCCCTCAGTTTCTACATAGAAAAAATAGTGATCCCTGAAAAGTACAGTTTCTAATTATCATAATATTGAAAGAACTCAAACATTAAATTCCTATACAAGTTCTAATTCTAAAACTTTGAATACCATGGATAACTACGCTCTCCTACAAACATAACATCCTATTTATATACACCTGTACCAAAATTCCTATTTATATTCTCTTCTTTACAGACTGGAGTCAAGCGGAAATAAGAAATAAATTAATGTCTCCCCTGCATTTGAAGGACCTGGGTCTGTTCAGAAAGGGTATCATGGGTGTCACTGTTAATACATCTCACTGGTATAAACCCAGGTATCCCAGGCCAGAGATATGGCACAGGTTCAATGGCCAACTCATGTACTGATTCCCGAAGACATTTCTAATCACCCAAAATTGATTTTTCCAGTAACTTCAAAACTCCTCTCAATAGTGATTATAATCAGTCCTTATTGCCAACGTTTTATTTTTTTTAAAGATTTTATTTATTTACTCATGAGAGAGAGAGAGAAAGAGAGAGAGAGAGAGAGAGAGAGAGAGAGAGAGAGAGAGAGAGAGGCAGAGACCAGGCAGAGGGAGAAGCAGGCTCCATGCAGGGAGCCCAATACGGAACTCGATCCCGGGTCTCCAGGATCACACCCTGGGCTGAAGGCAGCGCTAAACTGCTGAGCAACCCGGGCTCCCTTGCCAAAGTCTTATATAGCTAAAATTGTATCCTTAACACAGTTTATTTTGACACCACACACTTGAGAACATACAGATTTCCAGAGTAAATTTTAGATGATTCAGACACCAGCATAATCAAAAACAGGAATGCAAATGCAGGTGGTGAAATCTTGTGGCCGACTTGGTTATAAAGTAGTACTCCAGGTATGTCAGGTTATACTTTAAAATTACTGAAATGAAATACAACCTCAGGAACTTGAACAAAGCACATACCTAAGTTCTTCTGACCTCCCTAATAAATTATTCTAAATACTAAATCATACTAAATACCAAATTAAGAGCTAAGGAAAGAGGGCAGCCTGGGTGGCTCAGCGGTTTGGCACCTGCCTTCGGCCCAGGGTGTGATCCTGGAGACCCAGGATCGAGTCCCACGTCGGGCTCCCCGCGTGGAGCCTGCCTCTCCCTCTGCCTGTGTCTCTGCCTCTCTCTGTGTCTCTCATGAATAAATAAAGAAAATCTTTTAAAAACAAAAAAAGAGCTAAGGAAAGAGCTTCAAACTTAGAGCTATTTAATAATACTCTTTGTTTTCTCAAGTACTACCACCTAGAAGACCCACTAAACATGTTTCTTGAAAATATTAAAGTGACCTCAAAAAACATAAAAGTACACTATTTAATTATAAAAGTATTATATGCTTAATGCAATGGCCAAATTTAAAAATATATAAAGTAAATGTGTACTTCCCCCAAATAACCACTCTTAAGGGGTATAATTCCGTATTTTTTTCTCTCTCTCCATATTCAAACATTACACAAATATACACTATTTTGTGTTCTATTTTGTTGTTAAACATCTTGGGAAGTGACCAAGGGAGGGAAGCTTTAGCACCTAGCCATAAGATCCCAAAGTCAGGGGCACCTGGGTGGCTCAGTCAGTCAAGTGTCTGCCTTCAGCTCAGGTCATTATCTCAGGGTCCTAAGTCTGATCCTCCTATGGGGCTCCCTGCTCAGTGGGGAGCCTATTTCTCCCTCTCCCTCTGCCTACAGATACCCCTGCTTGTGCTCTGTGTCATATAAATAAATACAATCTTTAAAAAAAAAATCACAAAGCCATAACAGTCTTCAAAAATCTTTTTAAAACCTCCTAAAAATGCAAAGGTTTCAACCTCTAATCTTGATTTACAAGGCACAAGAAAAAAAATTATAACCTAACTTTTCCTCATATCTTACAATTAAGAGATGATATAATAAGAAGTAATGTATCTTGGGTACACTTTTACAACTAAAAGGGGGTTAAAAGGAAATTACCCTCACTTCTGATTACCCACCAAATACTGTTCGGGCCAGATTCCCAGTATAAATCAGCCTTCCATCTTCTGATTTTTCAAGCTCTGTATGTAAGCATTGAACACATCTTTTCCAACAAAGAGGTATCTATTGAAACAGAGACCGTTATAAGGTGAGTACATAATAAAGTGCATTTAGGATCTTTTAATTTTTTTTAAGCTTTATAAATTATAATGAAGAGTAAGAGAACTTGTCATATGAGGTGGTTTAATTCTCCCACATAATCTACCAAGCTCAAGAAATCCAACTAACAAAATCACTGTCCTTAATTCATTAGTTACCTACTGAGTTGGAGTTTGAAAACCCAGGTTTGCATCCCAGCTGAAGGCTTCTCCCGCTTCCCCGCCCCCCCCCCCATAAAGTGGGGCCTGGAACAAGTAAAACATTTTAGTGGCATAATTTTTTCATTCTGTGGTGAACGAAGACATTACTCCTGTTCTCCTGTCAAAATTTTAAATGCATTAGCTTTTCAAAAAAATGTTAATATAATGTATGTAAAAAAAAAAAAACTGGAAACGCAAATTGTTTCAAGTCCAGATCGTTTTTAATATTTCTAAAACGCTTATATTATAGCTAGTATTTCTTTTTAAAAAGTTAACTCTTTCCCTACTCATCTCCTTGCATCTGTTGTTCCTCTTAATAGTTCACTTGACATCTTCATCACATTTCACAGGAACAAGAGTTCCCATAAGGTGTAAAAATGAATTTCACAGCACACACCCTTCAAGATGCAAAAGGTATGCCTAATCCCTTTATGCTGAAATTTAATGACATTCCAATTCCCATGTTAGGCATTTCTTCCACGTTTTCAACCATACTTTCTAATTCTGACATTTTAAAGGGCAGGATTAGGAGACAATTTATTCAGATTAAAGTGACAGGATCCGGCAGCCTGGGTGGCTCAGCAGTTTAGTGCCACCTTCGGCCCAGGGCGCGATCCTGGAGACCCGGGATCGAGTCCCACGTCGGGCTCCCGGTGCATGGAGCCTGCTTCTCCCTCTGCCTGTGTCTCTGCCTCTGTGTGTGTGTCTGTCATGAATAAATAAATAAAATCTTAAAAAAAATAAAGTGAGAGGATTAATATCTCCAACTCCTTTCTCCAGGGAGCAAAGGAATTCCTTAAAATAGCCTCATCTAAAAAAAAAAGGGGGGGGGGATCCCTGGGCGGCGCAGCGGTTTGGCGCTTGCCTTTGGCCCAGGGCGCGATCCTGCAGACCCACGTCGGGCTCCTGGTGCATGGAGCCTGCTTCTCCCTCTGCCTATGTCTCTGCCTCTCTCTCTCTCTCTCTGTGTGTGTGACTATCATAAATAAATAAGAAATTAAAAAAAAAAAGAAGAAACAAACTTCAAGTCAGGTTGAGTTCTTTCAGTGCATCTCCTTTCGTTGCAAATTAACCCTTCCGAGGCTTCCTCTCAGGAGCAGAATATAGCGCGAGTCCTCACAAGCCCGCTGGGTCTGCAACCACCTGTGAGCCACTTTCTGGAGCCGCCCGGGAAAACGACCAAACGGCCAGTCTCGAAGGGATGGGGATGGATCCCCCTGGAGCCGCGGGCGCCCCGGGCCTCCCGCCGAGGCCGAGGCCGAGGCGGAGCCGCGCGGAGGGCCGCGTCCCACCCAAGCCCCCGGCCGACGCTCCCTGCCCCCCGCCGCCCCTCACAATGCCGACCTGCGTTCGCACCCGCCGGCCCACGAGCGGCGAGGCTCCCCGCAAGCCCACGCCTCCGCCGCCAAGCGGCCTCGAGGAGCCGCGCCAGGGCGCCGCCCGCCAGGAGGCCGCCCTCAGGCCTCGCAGCGCGGCGGCCGCCCGCGGTACCGTGCTCTGCCCGCCGAGCCCAAGTCCGGCCGCCCACCGGCTGCGCAACGCCAGGAGCAGCATCCCGCGCGCGAGGACCGCGGCAGCGGAGAAGCCCGAGGCCCGAGGCCCGAGGCCCGAGGCCCGCCGCCGCCGCCGCCGCAACGCGCCGCGCACGCCCCGCCCCCGGAGGCCCGCCGGCCCGGAGCAGCCGCCCGCGCGTGCGCAGAACCCTCCCCGGCCTCGCGCGTTCCCGGCGCCCCCCCCCCCCCCCCCCCCAGCCCCGCGGGGCCGGGACCCGCCGGCGCCCAGCCCGCCTGCGGCTTCGCTTCCGCGGACCTTCGCGCTCCTGCTGAGCGTGTTGCAAGGTCGGGGCGGACGCACCGAGCCTGGAAGCCCGAGTTCAGCCTTTGATTCTCCCGAGCGTCATTTTTCTAGGCCTCCAAATCCGTTTTCTCTTCGGAAAATGATTCTAACCTATGAGCACAGAGATTGGTAGAAAATAATTGGAACTTGTTCATGCGATGCTGATACTTGACATTGGTCCTCTGGAATCCTTCACACGTTTGTTCATTACTTGCTAAGTACCGAGTGCCTAAGACTAAGGAGCGGAGGACAGAAAGATAACGCACAAAATTGGAAACCTGTACTAACGGTGGAGGAAACACCTAAAAATACGCTAAAATATGATGCTATTTTAATATAATTAAAATATACCAATCTACAAAAGGCTTGAGAAGCCAAAAAAAAAAAAGAGCATGATTATTTTGGCCTCAGAATGTCTAAAAGCTTCACGTTATCTGAGTCTTGAAGGATGAGCATCCAACTGGTTGACACACCTATTTACTATTTCAGAAGAATGCTTTTGAATCAAAACGCTTTTGGCATAGGAAAGGGTCAAACTAAAAAGTCTAAAATAGTATCACCTTGAAAATTCAAAACCCTGTCTTTTTGTTTTCTTTTTCTTTTTTTTTTTTTTTTTTTCTGGGAATCCAAAGGGATAAAATTATACTGCTTTGGGGATCCCTGGGTGGCTCAGTGGTTTAGCACCTGCCTTGGGCCCAGGGCATGGTCCTAGGGCCCCGGGATCAAGTCCCACATCAGGCTCCCTGCATGAAGCCTACTTCTCTGCCTGTATCTCTGCCTCTCTCCCTCTCTCTGTGTCTCTCATGAATAAATAAATAAAATCTAAAAAAAAAAAATTATACTGCTTCTTTATGAGTGACTTCATTTTCTTAAAGTGATCTTCCACTTACATTTTAAAAACTCTTCTGTTTAGTGTAATTGATACCACAAACATCAATTATCCATTTAATTGGTATGTTTAAAATTTTCTGTTAGTACAGTGTTTTCATACTGTTACAAAGATAAATTGAGACATTTTTATTTTTTTTTAAATTTTTATTTATGATAGTCACACACACACACAGAGAGAGAGAGAGGCAGAGACACAGACAGAGGGAGAAGCAGGCTCCATGCACCGGGAGCCCGACGTGGGATTCGATCCCGGGTCTCCAGGATCGCGCCCTGAGCCAAAGGCAGGCGCTAAACCACTGCTCCACCCAGGGATCCCGAGACATTTTTAAATGTTTTGGTTTATTTGAGCAAAAATCTATTCAAATTGGGCTGCACCAAACTGAAAGTGGTTAAGAGTCCTCCACTGAGAGTAGCTAATAGACATTTGTTGAAAATAAACTACTTGAATGGGTTTTGGGAATGACACTAAGACTTTTAAAAAAATAAGCTTTGATACCCCATTCACATCATCTAAGAATTTCCCTTCAAAGATGAAGGTTGATGGGAAATTACAAACCGGTTATCACTTACAGAATGTATGACTGCCATTACTGTATATCCTGTTTGTTTTTTAGCTATCTTTCCTCCCCATCCACCAGCTCTCTTTCTTTCGTTAAGGTGAGTTTAAGGGCAGAATGGCATGATGAAAAAAGAAAAGAAAAATTTCGGTAAAGCTAGTATATTGATAAGAACCCTAAATGTTTTTTTATATATTACTGGCTTAAAGCATGTATTAGGAGAATCTTTCCCAAGAAGAATTTGTCAACAGATTATCAAAATCTTTTAAAATGTTCATATTCTGAAGAAATAATCAGAAACATGGTCAAAGAGTATTGCAGAGATACTAAACACAGAATTACTTTAAATGATTTAAAAATGGAAATGAAGTAGGGGCACCTGGATGCTCAGTCTAAGTATCCAATTCTTGATTTCTGCCCAGGTCATGATCTCAGAGTGTTGAGAGCAAGCCCCACGTGCAGCTTTGCATGCTGGGTGTGGAGCCTGCTTAAGAGTCTTTTTCACTCCCTTCCCATCCCCCTGCCCTCTATCTCTCTTTTAAAAAATTAAAAATGCAAACCAGGTGTATGTCTAACATTAGAGAAATATTTAAGTGAATCATGATCTATTTATACAATGTAATTCTATACAGACATTAGAAATGATGCCTATTGAGATTTTGGTTATAGAGACCTTAAATTGGAAAGTTAACCAGAACCATATACACACAGTATGATCATGTAAAAGTGCATAGAAAAAACAGACATCTGCAATCTATTTTTTATTATGAGCATATATTATATTGACTACATAAATAAAAATTTAAAATACAGTAAAATTTTGTACAAAAGAAACTAATAGGGGATCCCTGGGTGGCTCAGCGGTTTAGCGCCTGCCTTCGGCCCAGGGCGTGATCCTGGAGTCCCGGGATGGAGTCCCACGTCAGGCTCCCTGCATGGAGCCTGCTTCTCCCTCTGCCTGCGTCTCTGCCTCTCTTTATCTCTCTCTCTCTCTCTCTGTGTCTCTCATGAATAAATAAATAAAATCTTGAAGAAGAAGAAGAAGAAGAAGAAGAAGAAGAAGAAGAAGAAGAAGAAGAAGAAGAAGAAGAAGAAGAAGAAGAAGAAGAAGAAAAGAAACTAATAGTCCTAGATTAGATTTTAGCCCTAAGTTTGGCATCAGCTAGCCTCGGTATCCTCACCTGGGAAATGTCATTCTCTAGGCAACTAATAGGGTGATCCTTTCGAGAGTGATAATGCAATGAGGAAACGGGGAAGAGAGAAGGGAAGGAAACACTTCTTAAGTAACGGAGGAAAAGGATGATTGAAAATGGGCCCACAGGGATGCCTGGGCGGCTCAGCGGTTGAGCGGCTGCCTTTGGTTCAGGTCATGAACAGGGGATTCCGGGATCTAGTCCCACACGAGGCTCTCCGCAGGTAGCCTGCTTCTCCCTGTGCCTATGTCTCGGCCTCTGTATCTCTCGTGAATAAATAAAAAGCTTTTTAAAAGAAAGAAAAAGAATATGCGCCCACAGCCTCCTCTCCTCACCCCATCGTCTCTCCTCCCTACCAAACTCTATTTTGAGCTACCGTTAAAACCAAACTTAAAAAAAAAATCTTTTTTTCTTGCAAGAGCTTTGAAAAGTTAACTCAGAACAATCCGTTATAAGGCAATGATTTATCTTCCAGATCAACAAAACATGTCTTTCAAGCAAAAGTCATAAATTAGGTCAACCAATTTTGCTTCGTCTTCACTTTCCTATGGGGGCCTTGTTAACACAACAGCGCCTAGTTGAGCAACATGCCATGGAGAGTGTCTTGGCCCTCCATTGCCTTCTTGCCCCGGTCTCCTAAACAGAGTGCAAACTTTATTTAGCTGTTTCAGCTTTTCTGGAAGGATGCCTGAATCAAACCACAGCAAAGCAAGTAAGAAGGGTGGACGGATCGACAGAGCGAGAGAGGAAGGGCGCTGGGGCAGAGAGGGCGTGGAGGGTCAAAGACGGCCTCAGGATTCAGTTATCCGCGGCGAACTCCTGGGATTTTCACCGAGCGATCTCAGAATTAAGTAGGGCTGAGCAACTCCCGGCAGGGAGGGGTTTATAGGGACGGAGAAAGGCTCCCAACCCTGGGGGGTGGAGGCGTGGTTAGTGATCGGTGTCGAGTGGAGAGGAAACGAGGCCAGCCGATTGTGCTAGCAGTCAAGATGCTCCTGCCCCTTTCCACCAAAAGACAGTTTTTTAAAGAGCACGATCTTGTTAGCATCGAAACCGCACTCCCCCCTGTTCAATCTTTTCTCTGCAGATAATCTCCGACCCCGGACAACCTCTAAAATCACCCAAGAGCGTAACATTCAGCGTGAGAAACTACAAGTCCCAGGGTGTAGTGCGGCAGGGGAGACTGTAGCCTCCAGAGAAACTACGAATCCCAGGATGCAGTGCTGCCTTGGACACCGCCCCGCCCCCCCCCACCGCCACCCGAGCCGCTTCTGGGAATGACGTCCCTGAGGAAATCGGATCAGGATCGGCGCTGCATGCTGGGAGTCAGAAGATCCAGAATCGGATTGGTGGGGATTTGCAAAGGGCCGCGGTCCCGCGAGGTTGGCCAGCGGCACTGCGGGAGGAGGGGCGGGGGGTGGGGCGCTGCGCACTTCCTGTTGGCGGAAGTAGTAGGTACTCAGCAGGTACTAATCTCCCGCGCGGCGCAGAGCGCGTCGGTGACCCGGCGGAAGTGATTTCTCTAAGTGCCCCGGAACCCAGGGCGCAGGCAGCTGGGGGTGGGGGGGCGGCCCTGGAGCAGGGGCTGTGGCGGTGCGCGGGGAGCCGGCGCGGTGGCTGCGGTGGCTGCAGGGCTGACGAGTGAGTGTCGGGCTGGGGTGGGAACGGAGCTCCGGATCCGCGTGGAGGCCACGGCAGGCTCGCGCTGGGCGCGCTCGCGACCCTACTTCCCACCCCTTCCCATTTGGGCGGGGAAGGGACGGAAGCTCTTAACCTCCCCGGGCCTCTTCGGCTCCTGGTTTGGGGGAGGGGAGAGGAGGGCGGCGGGACCTTCCCAGGCGCCGCTCGGTGGGCTCCGAGGAGGGTGGAAGGAGGGGCGGCGGCCCGCGGGCCTGGGCCTTCCCGGGGCTGAGCGCGGGGAGGGCGGAGTCAGGAGCCCGGCAGCCCCGTCGCTTTTCCTTCTTGCTTTCCCCGTGTGCGCTCTCAGATAACGTCCTTTTCTTGGAGTCGGTCCCCCAGTCCCAGGAGTGGCTCTCACAGCCCCAGCCCTCATCTTTTTCCAGCTGCAGGACCCCGAGAAGTTTACCTTCTGGGGGGAACTTGTCGGACCATCTCTGCCCGACTTGATAGTTTGGGATTCCGGTCGTGCGTCTGCCTCCCAGTTCTGGCTGAAAGGTATCCCG